AGAGTATCCCAGTATTATTCATGTAAACGTTATGGTAGTCATTATTGAAATTGGTAATAGGGGAGGTCAAAACACGTCAAAAAGCTCATATGACCCATAGTCCAAAAGTTAATAGATTTTTGTCTAAATGTCTTTATGGTTTACAAGTTTAAGTGCTTTATATCGACCACTATCACCACAATCTTACTAATTTTTATAATCTAATCTAAGACGTTTTTAAACTGAGTAATTAACAAATAAATGGCATTAAGTTTTCTAAGTTAAGCCAAAATTTGTAGTCAGTAAGTAAGTTTCATTAAATTAAATATTTAAAACACACATCAAACCGGCAATCGATCACAAACGGTAACAGTGGTTAGTATGTTGTTTTGTTTTTGTTCGCGTGCGTCGTCGCGAAAAAATTTTTAATGCGGCTGAAATAATAAATGGACAACTTCGAGGACCTAGAGTAACAAGAAACTGGGTTTATCATAATGAAGCTTGTGTGGAAAGTGGAGGACGACATTTTGAACACCTTCTTTAAATACAAAGAAGTGCAGTGTGGGTTTTAAAAAGAAAAACAATGAATGTGTCAAAATTGTGTTCCCTATTTATAAGTGGATTTTTTTCATACGTTCAGTAAACTTTCACACACCAGGTAAAGCCCTGAAACAGTTAGTGGTAAGTTCGTTTTTTTTTTAATTGTTTGCATTTTACGAGTACATTATCAAATAATGAAATAATACCTAAGAGCCAAAAATAACAAACACCATCTTTATTACAATGCGTTCCGTCGTAATTTGCGTCTGGCATTGCGGCGTTGTCAGATTTTATTTTACTTTAAAGTTGCTTTTCTCTACAAAAAATTCCGTTTTGACCCCCATGTTTTGCTTCTTTTAACACCCTCTATCACCCATTTAAATAATGTTTACAACCTTTATAATTTAATCAGTAATTTCCATTAATAGTAACAAACATTTGTCATAAGGCTCCTCCTACTGAAAATGGGACACGACAGGGGACTGCTTATTTAGGTGTTTGAGCTGCATTAAATTTAATATTACAGTATTATATAAGAAAATGAACAATGGCGTTTCAAGAATAGATAATAAGTCATCATTATTATTACATAGAACTTAGTAATAATAAGATCTATTATATAAATTTTGCCTGGGACATCTATTTTCCAGTTAGTCGAGAAATGCCCATATGCTATATTTCGAAGTCGAGTCGGGTTAAATTGGTAATAATAAAAATATCATCGTTTGGTGAAAATAAGTGAAGGGTACAGGGAAAAAGATGAATGTCACAAATTTGGTATTTTGTAGTTATGTAGTTAGTCTTAACGCAGTAGCATCCCATGAGGTATCGGAAACACGCAAAAACAAAAGGGAAAAATGATGAACGTACACTGATCGTCACCGAAACTAGTAGCTACTAGAAACAATATTCCATACACCAATCTGCGACGAAAGAAATAAACGTTAAATAATCATTTTTATACAGTTACCTTTTGTTTTGTTTGTTCTATATTCTTTTGAATAAAGCTTTCTTTGGTTCATTGTTTTTTCCTACCCCAATTAAAAACAAAAACTCATATTAGAACAGATCGTAAAACCTAAGATAAGCATTTTACTGGTTAATCAACCCTTAGATTTTGCAGGGTGTCGCATATGACGAAAGGCTCATTTCTAACCTCAATATCTCAAAAAAAATTGCAGATATTGAAATCAAAAATGTTTAAAATCATAAGGAGAATCTCAAAATACAAAAATCAAAAGGATTCTCCATGAAAAAATGGGCTACCCTGTTTATTAAAAAATATTTTTTATGTCTTTGGTTCAACTTTTCCAATTTCTTATAATAAGGAATATTTGGTCAGATCTATGACCCACCCTATACAACGAGTCTAGGAGTCTTCAAACTCTTATATTCACTTTTCTAGAAACTTTCTTTTTGTGACTCATCTTTTTTCCCCGTACCCATCAATTCTATACATACCTCAGTGGAGAAGGCTATCATTGTCCGCGTATATTATGAAAGTTCTCGGCCAATATCGACATACTTCTCCACCAAGACATGTATTCCCTACCCCCTAAAATTGTTAAAATCTTGAAAATGGTAAAAAACTAAGATCGACATTTCTCATAACCTTTACCTCAAAAATACCATTGATTGCACCCAAAGAACACAAATAAGAAACAAATACAAATAGAAACTGAATTTTGAATACGATCTGGAGCTTTTCCGTTCTCCCTCCTTCTGTATTAGATTTTTTTATTTATACAGGGTGTTTCACTTTATTGTTGCATAACTTTCAGATTCGATAGAACTTTTAAAATTAATGCATAAAGTCTATATAAACATGGGTCGAAAAATGCGTGGCTTCCGAAATACAGGGTGTTTAAATTTACTTTCTAAAATAGTTTTTTTTAAATATTTCGAACAATATTTGATGTATAACAGTGAAAATTGGTATACAAGGGTTTTTTGGTACGACAAAACGAACCATGGGCATAGTTTTACTGTAGCCGCTAGAGGGCGCTCTCTACTGTACCTGTAAAATTTTCTTACTACAATTTTTTGCTTTTTGAATAAAATAACTGATTCTTCGCACTTTGCAACATAAAAAATCTCACTTGTGAATTTTCGTTATAGTTAGTCGTTTTTGAGATATTTCAATTTTTAAGGTAACCATGCATTTTTAATTATTTATGATAAAATAACGCTAAAAAGTCCGTATCTCGATATTTTTTAGAATTAGGCTGTGCCTGCAAATATTTTTGAAATTAAAAGCAGAATAAGGTTAAACGTCAATTAGTTGACAGTTAGTTTTGTTGTCTGTTGAAACCTGAAACGTTTTTTGCAATTGTGAATGCATGAAATTTAATTTCTTTTACCTGTTGTTTTTTTTGTAAGTTTTATAAAAATGCCATTTTTATTCTCCAATCAAGAGTTAGCGGATATTCATTTTGTGTATGGCTTTGTAAATAGAAACGCAGCAGAAGCAGCCAGAGAATACGCACGAAGATTTCCAAACAGACAACATCCAACTCGCTCAGTATTTGTAAGAGTGCATCGCCAAATAATTGAAAATGGCTTTGGAAATCTCCAAAGGGATCAAAACATAAATGTTCGTCAGCGCAGATTTACCCGTATGGAGGAGGAGAGTTTCTGGTGCCTAAGGAATTTCAGCAAGCCATGTTCACCGTGTTCCCGTGTTCTTAGAAATAACCATAGACGTCCTTACCATTTGCAACCTGTGCAAGGACTACAGCCAGGGGACGGAGAACGAAGAATCACATTTTGTCAGTGGATTCTTGATAGAACTGATAATAATAGGGAGTTTTAATTAACGTTTTATAGACCGATGAGTCATGCTTTAATAGACGTGGAGTGGTAAATTTTCATAATCAACATATTTGGGCGCATGAAAATCCGCATGCAGTTCGGGAAAGAAATTTTCAGCATGAATTTAGTGTGAACGGTTGGATTGGTATGTACCGTAATCGCCTATTTGGACCCTACCTTTTGCCTGCAAGGTTAAATGCTGCAACCTTCTTGGAATTTTTAAAGGCTAAACATGCAAATATGTGGGATGATGTTATGTTAGATTTAAGAAGATCGGCCTGGTTCCAGCTTGATGGTTGTCCAGCTCATTATTCGAGAATAGTTAGAAACTGGCTGGACGAAAACTATCCAGAAAGATGGATCGGCCGAGGAGGACCAGTCGCCTGGCCTCCACGATCCCCTGACCTAAATTCATTAGATTTCTTTGTGTGGAGATTAATAAAATAAAAAGTGTACCAGACTCCCGTAACCACAACAGATATGCTAATAGACAGAACCAGGAATGCATATGATGAAATAAGGCCTTATTTGAATAATGCTATACCACGTTCGATCATTCGTAGATGTGAATTGTGTATTGAACAATTGGGTTTACATTTCGAGCAACTACTTTAGATTTTGTATGTTTGTCCTAACTATCCAATAGCATTTTAGTTGTAAATAATTAATTTAATTTGTTAATGATAATATTGGAAAATTAAACAAATTAATATTCTTTTTTTTGTGTTTATTTGGAGTTAGGAATTATTGCTGTGTTTAAAAACACAATCTAAACGATCATCTTAATTACTTGTAATGCCCAAATCGAAAATGTAAAAATAATATTATTTTCCCATAAATAATTAAAAATGCATCGAACCTTAAAAATCGAAATATCTCAAAAACGGCTAACTATAACGAAAACTCACAGGAGAGCTTTTTTATGCAGAAAAGTGGGAAAAAACAGTTTTTTTTATTCAAAAAGCAAAAAATTGCACTAAGAAAAAATTTTCGGTCATTTTAATACACTACAAGTACAGTAGCGCCCTCTAGCGGCTACAGTAAAACTATGGTTCGTTTGTCGTACCAAAAAACCCTATATACCAATTTTCACTGTTATACATCAACTATTGTTCGAAATATTTAAAAAAAACTATTTTAAAAAGTATATAATTTAAACACCCTGTATACGGCTAATAACCATAGAAGTTGACGCCGTCAAAAAAAAAAACCCTGTATTTCGGAAGCCACGCATTAAAAGTTCTATCGAATCTTAAAGTTATGCAACAATAAACTGAAACACCCTGTATATGTAATTTTTGGGTGGAAAAACAAAACGTTTTGTTGGAAGAACCTTTTATATGGTGAATGATATAATTCATTTCGCCTTTTCAAAACTACCATAGCTGGTTATTTAGCAACGCCCTCGATCGAAAATACTCGTCACTGCAATCACCTAAACAGTATCTAACAGCTCGGTGTTCCGGCAAGACTGAATCAAGTTTATTATTCTTGCAGTGTGGGCGAAGCAATTTAGAATAATCAGGATGTTGTTAAAACATCTTCAACATTTGAATCTGTGAACAATGCGAGTGTTGCCAGATCGGACGATTTATTAGAATTACAGGCGCCATGCCCATGTCAAGTCAATCAAAACTGCGATTAAAATAGCGATAGAAAGAATGTGATTCAACAACCAGGAGGGTCGCCATAATAACTATTCATTTCTCACGCTATACAAGGTGTTCTAGAAGTTAGGACTAGCCGTGTCAGGGCAGCAGCGGTGGCCGCAGTAGTAGACTGTTCGGTCTCCTGATCAGTCGCCGTGCGCTCTGCGGGTTCGAGTCCCGTCCCAGGAGAAATTTTTCTCTTGGCTATGTGATTGTCCGTAGGTGGTAGATGGTCTCTGACTGTCGAACGCGGAGGTACCACCCGGCGGTTCTCGTAGGCGGAGCCAGAATGTGTGCATGTTGCATGCACACGTGTTCCCTCGCCAGAGTCAGTGTGGCGTCCCCCCTTTCCCATGTATCCCCCATAGCCCCACGGTACCCAATGGGTGCTTAGGCCTTCGTACTAGTTGGAATATAAAAGAAAAAGAACCCCTCTAAGAAAAAAGTTAGCATCTCAATCCAATCTGGAAAGTAAAACAACAAAAAAGACAAAGAAAACAAAATGCTCCAAAAGTCGTAAAGTAACTCGAATAACGACTATCCCGCGTTTTGACAAAGAAATATGTTAGGATAATTTAGATTCATTCCATCTCAAATCTGAGTTGGTTCCGTCACTACATCCAGCAGTTTTAATTTGTGTTTCTTTTGTAACCGCTCCCGAATGCAAATCAGCAACCTTTGGGAATTGAATTTAGTGTTCATGTAGGTAACTTTGTGAAATTTGAGCAGCTTGAGGCCTCGTGTTACCTACATTCAACAAAATTTAAGTCGACTATACATATACAAAATGTGCTATTTTTCTAATAGGAAGGATTGAAAAGTATATCTAATAAATGTTCCGAAAGTGAAATGTCAAAATTTCAATTTCAACACAGTAACCGCAAAACTCTTGAAAATTTAAAAAAAGCTTCACCCACAAAAATTGTCTGAGCTGCATAATTGTTTTTCGTTGTGCTTTAAGTAAGTGTGTGTGGCAAAGTAAATCAATTCTAAGTATGAAGGGGCCTTTCAAAAATGCAAATATAATCTTTATAGCACTCCACCGAGTAATCGACGAGTACCCGGTAGTCGGCGTTTTGAAAAAAGTACGGCGCATCCTACTCTGCGTGAGCTGACATCAAATCGAAAAATTAAGAAGCCGGCAAGTGAAACGTGCCAAGAAACTCACAAGCTTGGACTATAAAAAAGAATATCCTGGTGATGATTCAGTTTGATAATTTTATCGGCACTCAAAGAGCAAAATGTTGCGTAGCTGGGGCTGGCACCAAGAAAAGTTTCTTACTGATCCCAACCAGCTCGTCAAATGAACGCCACAAAGTCGTAATACACAATTTGAAAAATATAAACAGTGCGACTCTGAACAGGTACTTGTCACCATCACTAACCGCTGAGAGGTGTTAGGAATATCGTAATGAGTCTTAATTTTTTAAAAGAAGCATAATATTTTTTCTGTAGCATGGTTAAGTAAGCATCACTGGCTAAATAATTTGCGGATTACCGTCTGCCTCTTATAGACCGCTCTGCGCCCTAAAAATGTAACCTCACCTATTTTTTGTGGAAAGATACAGGAATTTGAAGCCTGGTTTGAAGCATAATCGGGGACTTCTTAAGCTACATAGGGGTCCCCCTGGGCAAACAGGAAGTTCAAAGCCAGAGCGAAAGCCGCGTCTCTGCTTTGGGGTTGGGAAAAGCTGGGGTGAGTGGAAGGGGTCCTCCTTTTTTTCAATTGTGTAAAGATGGAATAAAGCATAAGAAATCTATTTTATTGTCTGGCTTATCGATAATTTTTCCTACAATACCTGTCAACCTCCAAAGGCCATACGCACCAAGGAACTAATAACATCTAAGTACAATGCCTGCCTTAATATATCCGCGATAGGAACAGTAAGTCTGCTGTCCACAAAAAAAACATGTTTGCTAAATATCCAATGTTTATCCTTGAGAGTAAAATACATACCTAGGTTTAGGAGTAAGCCATTATTGGCCCACCAAATGAGGTAAGTATACCATTTTTTTAATGTTAACTAACGTATACGTAAATCAATGAGCATGACGTTTCATAGCTATACAAATACTTTGGAACATCCGGTAGCCTGGTATCAAGCTGACAAACTTAAATGAATGCAATAAGAAGCAGATCTAGCTGGTCCATTTCAGTTTCAGAGTGAAGTAAGTTGCTTACGTTTATTAATTGTGTCTCCAATCTGCTAAATGAATTAAAAGAAAAACCATTTTCCAATAATTTCCAGATTATTATAATTCTCAAAGGAGGCGAGCTATGCTTAATATCCGTTACTTGTCACTTGTTTTCAAATATTCAGTATAAAGAGTACAAAGTTCAGTTATAAAACTGACATTATGAACTTATCAGGATACAATTTTAAATGAAATTTTCATTTAACTAGGTGGTTTTTGTCATCATCTAAATAGGGAGAGAAGCTTCTTCTCAGTGGGGCATTGAGATCGATAATGGTAAGAGGAGTTGCTCAAAAATTGATAGTCTGTTTGAGAATCTAAGGCAATATACAGGGTGTTCCTTAATTATATGCGAATATTTAAGGGTGTGAATCTACATGAAAAATTAATGGTAGTTTGCTTTATAAACTATGGGCCAAAAATGTTTGTCTTAAGATAGCCCCACAAAAAGAAATCTAAACTGTTGAGGTCTGGGAACCTGGGTGGCCATTCTTGGGGCCCTCCGCGGCCGCATCCAAAGATTTGGATAAACAGTTTGTAAATAATTACGAACCGCTGCACTGAAATGTGCTGGTGCACCATCATGCATATACCACATATTGTTTCTAATTACTAACGGAGCAAATTCAATTGTTGTTGAAGAAAGTTGAGGTAAGTCTGTCCGTCAAGTCGTCCCGGCAAGAAGAATGAGCCAATAAAGTGGTTGCCAATAATTCCTGCCCATACGTTAACCGAAAATTGGTGTTGGAAATGGGTTTCGGTTACGGCATAGGGCTTTTCTTCTGCCCACAAATTATTATTGTGGAAATTGTGAGTGGCATTTCGAGAAAAATTAGCTTCGTCCGTGAACAGATTCAAATTTCGGATTATGTGTAATTTTTTGAAGATACCACTCACAAAAGGTCACACGCCTTGGAAAATCAATGGGAAGTAATGCCTGTACGCTTAAAATATGGTAAGGATATCACAAAAAATCCACTAAAATTCTCCAAACAATTTGATAGCAAATATTTTAGTGTCTAGCGATCTTCCTGGTACTCGTTTCAGGATGTTCTTCGACTTCGTGCAGCACTGCTTGGTCAATTTCAGGTGTTCTCACACTTATAGGTCTACCTTCAGATGCTCCTTTTTAGACAGAACCAGTTTCAACAAGACGACGATGAATATTAGAAAAGGTTCGACTATCTGGCAAAGCACGATCGGGATATCTCTGGTGATAAATCCGTCTGGCAAGGCCATATACGTAATGCATTTCCGCCATTTCTGCATTTGAATAATTCACCATTATTAACAAGATTGTAAAAACTAAATAATGAAAAAGATGTCACAGCGAACAGATTTGAATAACAATTCATTCTTCAATTATTACATTAATTTTCTCGAACAATAGAACGATTTTTATTTTTTTACTCAAAAATGGCGCATCGAAGGAAAACAATTCAAGAGAGATTATTTGTTTTACATTGAACGGGGAATTCAAAAATATTTTTTAAAGATTCGCATATCATTAAGGAACACCCTGTATATCTAACAATTTTGAATTTGACGGCATGTATTCCTACATCAACAGTCATGCCAATTCGGAAGGGTGTGCCACAGGGTGCTACACTGGGACCGATTATCAATCAGATCGCAGATGTTTTGCTCACCATTAAATATACACCTTAAACTGATGATATATATACTAAGTGACATATAAATCCGAACATCCAGTTTAAATGGTTTTATTTTAATAAAATTTTTTATAAGTACTTAATGAAGCATAATAAGTAAATGATACAAATTTCAAAATGATTGCACTGCTTTAAAGCCCTTTGACCTTTAATAATGTGTGGATGCACCCTGATGTGCTACGCATTCTCCAACGCGCCTAGGTATGCTTCTGATCAGGTGGTCAATGTCCTCCTGTGGTATCTCATTCCAGGCAACCACCAACTCCTCTCGAAGTACTTCTAGAGTCTGAGGAGGGCGTTGCAAATTGAGCAATCTCCTACCCATGATATCCCACACGTGCTCAATTGGGGATAAGTCGGGAGATCTTGGTGGCCATGGTAACAATGTGACATCATTATGTTGGAAGAAGTCTATTGTGACTTTTGCAACATGTGGTCGGGCATTATCTTGTGGGAAAGTTGGATCTGCCAGGGTGTCAAGATAGGGTAAAAGATGGGGTTCTAGAACTTCGTGGATATAACGCTGCGCGTTCATGTTACCTCTGATGAAGATTAAAGGTGACCTGGAACCATAAGCTATAGCACCCCAAACCATAACTCCAACAGTGTGATGAACATGTCTTTCAACAAAAAACTGTGGATTCCTCCTTTCACCACGTGGCCTTCTAACCCTGGCACGACCATCTTGCATGCCTAAACAAAATCGAGACTCGTCACTAAAGACAATACTGTTCCATTCCTGATCCCAGAGTGAGCGTTGCCTGCACCACTCAAGGCGATTACGTCGGTGTTCTCGAGTTAAAGGGAGGACCCAGTGTGGCCGGTATGAAAACAAGCCAAAACTTCTCATTCGTCGGTAAACACTTCGCATGCCAATAGGTCTTCCGTGTTCTGCAAACCATTCATTTGCAATGGACCTGTTAGTGGAGAAACGGTCCCTTAAGGCCAATAATCTTAGGCGGCGATCTTCACGGTCTGTTGTTCTACGGCGGCGTCCAGTGCCCCTTGCTCTTTGCGTACGGCCTTCTCGAAGCCATGCCTGACAACACCTAACCACAGTGTCTACACTTCTTTGCACTCTAACTGCAATTGCCCGAAAAGAAAGTCCAGCTTCCCGAAGTCCCACTATACGGCCCCTATCAAACTCACTAAGTTCACGAAATCGTACAGGTCTCCGTACTCTAGGCATCGTAACCGATCGTAAAGGATGTCAAGAACCAAAATCCGCCAACGTTGATTCTTTACTGCGGCTGAAATATTCATTTTTAGAGCGTTAGTGAATTAAAAAAAAGCAGTATAAAAACCGGAATGTCCAACTGATAAGGCTGAAAATTTTTTC